CATGCACAGTAGGTGGCGGTATGCACCTAAAAGTTGTTTGTGATCCGCCATTAATTCAAAAAAAGAAGAAGAAGAAGGTTCTGTTCTGGTGGGATAGTGCTACCACCTCACGGCGAGCACGCGCAGCTGCAGCCCAGGCTCGGCCTCCTCCCCCGGACAGCGCAGCGCGGCGCCGTGTTTGTGTATGTGGAATGCGGGTCAAGCGGAAGTCACTGCACAGGGAAAAAAAAAAAGAAAGAAAAAAGAAACAGTAGTAGAACTGCGCGTCGCGTCCAACCCCAGCAGCAGCTCGCCTCGCCTCTGTATGTACCTCACATCTTGTTTCTATCCGTGTTTTAAGGCTCGTGTAWGAAATGCTCTCAGGCTGTTTGGAAACGACTTCGTGTCGCTGTTATGGTCGCACGAGCGGTCCGCTAGGAAAACGCGACGCCGTCATTTTAAAATGGCGCCAAGATTAACCTGAGCCAGTGATAAACATGCCTCTCTGCACACTGCTAGTTAGCCGCACAGATCAGCAAGTATTKCTTTTATAACTATTAACACGTCTTAACCAAGTGTTTACGGTGACTTCAGCGCAGTTTGTTTATTTGACCCCTAACCTTTGACAGTTAGCAGGCACTGGCTGGGTTTTAATGGGGGGTAATGCTAGCATCGGTGGCTAATGCTAAACAAATCACTATCAGCTAGATAACCGCTAGCTAAAGTCGCTACATTCTTGTATTTGCGTTTACGACGCGAACCGATTTGTTCAGTTTCCTTTTAAATAACGCATCTTTGGAGAAATGTGTTTACTAATGTTTGCAGTTGAAGCGCCGGGTGTGGGTGGGCCTGCTCGTTACATAACAGTGGGGCGTTAGCAACCATGCTAACTGCTACTGCATGACGTTGTTTACTCCGGCTGCGTTTACAGCTGTGTCACAAACTCAACACTGCCTTTCTTTACGACACGTTTGCGCATTAACCAACACCGTGCAACCCGCAGTTCTCAGCCAAAAACAGCCGCTATCCACTCGTGCATCAGTGATAGGCGTCACACAGACCAGCTGCTAGCTAGCGTATGCTAAGCTAAGTGTTAGCCTAGCCTGCAAAGTTCTGTGCGTTAAGGTTTGATAAAAGCACGGCGCTGTCTGTGAGCAGAGGCTCGTAGATCCCGAAGCCTTAATTTAAGTATTTTTTATTTGCAAAATCTCATAAATTTAACGAGAGGAACTTATTTTATTTGGGATGAATGATTAAAATAACTTGAGTTAACGGTTTTTGCTCATTGATCGCATCAGTGTTTAGTGTTTGGCAAATAGAATCGAAATAAGAGGGAAACAATTTGTTTAATTATGTAAATGATAAAAAATAGAAAGGTTTTTATATTTAATCGGAGTTGCCAACTTCTGGACATTGAATTAAGAAAGAACTCGTGACAATAAATTTATCAATAAATTGTTAAAATGAGAAAAAAATCACAATTTCAGTAAGTTAAACATGAAGGAAGCTTGATGTCTGTCAGGCTCTGAGTTATAATTTACTGAAACTCTCATTTACTTAAATGTATAAATTAACATCCTGTGTTTTATTTATTTAAATTTTTTGTTGTTATTTTGGTGAAGTTCCCCCCGAGCTTCAGACAAAACAAGATGAAGAGGATCCGGCACCCCAGCAGCAGCGACGACTCAGACAATGAAAGTAAGAAAACTGCTTATTTTGCTYGTGTAATAACAGATTTAAATGTTCGTGTTTCACTCGTCTTGKCCCTGAAGGTGAGGAGCAACAACTGAATCAGAGCAACAGATGTGTCGTTTTTTATTTTGGGGGTTATAAAGGCTATTTTCTCTAACGCTCGGATACGATGAGTCTGTATTTAATGTTCAGGGCTCAGACAGGAGGAAGGAAGGAGGGAAGGCAGTGAATGGACTCAGATTAAGGCGCAAAAAAAAAAAAAAAAAAACGCTGATGTGTTTGTTTCCATCAGGTAACTCCACCTGCTGGTCCCAGCACTCAGCACAGCACAGGAGGGGGACCGGCCAGAAGCCCTCAGAGGTACGTCTGATCCGTCAGAGCTGCTTTTACTGACRTCCACTGAAGCAGGGGCGCCCAAACATTTTCCCTGAGAGGGCCAAAATTAAAATCACTCTCAGGGCCACGGGACAAACAGTAATATAACAAATACAAATACTTCTCAAGTAAAGTTGTTTTATTTTTTATGATTAAGCTAACAACCAGTGCGGTTGCCCACGTCCCACGGACAGGGAGAAAATTTAACATCTGCTCAGGCAGCAAAGGCTCATGGGATGGTTCATAATTTAACATTTGAGTATGTGCTCTTATAAGGTGTGCAAATCTAGATAAGGGCTTAAATCTAAATGTGTCTTGTAGTTGTATTTTACATTTAATCTTAACATAATTACAATCTAGTATCTAAGACAACTGCAGGTGGGCCAATTTTGGCCCGCAGGCCCCAACTTAAGCACCTCTGGTCAAAACAAAGAAAGAAAAAAAGACAAAATCTGTTTCATTTTCTTTGAACTCTGTGTTTTGTGCAGCGACCTCCACCTGGAGCACATTCTCTTTAACAAAATCCAGAAAACAGGATTTTCCAGATAAATAATTAATTCTATGGTAAATTCTAGGGGTGTAAGAAAATATTGATGCATGAATTATTGATATTAATACTCGATACTGATAATCGATTTTTAATTAAGGCTTAAAGGATGTTTTAAAAAGAAGTGTGAAATACATGCAGCTCTSTGTTCTTCTGATCACTTAAAAATAAAAATAATTTATGATTGTAATGCATGCTGTGCTCCTTCTACTGAGTTTTTTTTAAATTAGAATCTTTTGAAGACAAATTTATATTTATTTATTTCTATCATGACCCTTGTGTCGTGGTGTGTTTCATATCAAATTCTTGCCAATAAATTCAAGAAAAGCTGCATCACCTCCTCCTCTCCTCTAAGTGTCTCCTCTTCTTCCTGGTTAGAAACCGTCACATTGTGAGCCGGTCATGAAGGAGGGGGGTTGAGCCAAGACCATTATCAGCTTTATTGTTTTATGTTATTTAATAAAGCTTAACGGGACGACTCTGCCTCCGTGCACCTGTCATCTCAACACCAGTACAAAACCACTTCCTCTAGGCCTTTCACAATAAAAGCACATTGCATGAATCTATCCGTGCAGAGGGTGAAAACAGGAGGTGATTTTTTAATGTCAGTCAATATAAGCAGCAGAATCTCCACCTGCAGCCACTTCCTGAGCAGCTGCTCCAACATTAACATTAGCATGCTAACGTGTAGCGGTGCTGYGAGGAAAAGTGTYCCCCGTGAAACAGTTGACTGGTGGGCGTGACGTAACGTTCTGCGCCCAGCACTGAGTGAAAGCATCGTTGTATGAGATGTTTACAGGGTCAGGGTTCAGGCTGGTTCTGTAAACACACTCGAGTCTTTGRCTCACTTCCTGTTTGTTGTTCAGGTCTTCAGGACCGACCTGATCACAGCCATGAAGGTGCACGACTCGTACCAGCTGAACCCCGAGGACTACTACGTCCTGGCCGACCCGTGGAGGCAGGAGTGGGAGAAGGGTGTCCAGGTCCCGGTCAGCCCCCAGTCCATCCCTCAGCCGCTTTCCAGGTGGGACACAAAGCCGCCGCGTCGCAGCCGAAGCTGGAAAAAGTGGCTCCCAGTTAAAACGTTTATGAATTCCTGTTTGTGGCTCAGAGTCCTGGCGGAGAAAGGGAAGGAGGTCATGTTCGTCCGGCCCAAGAAGCTGATCCGAACCTCCGGGACCGAGGCGCTCGGCTACGTCGACATCCGGACGCTGGCGGAGGGAATGTGTCGCTACGACCTGAACGAGGAGGACGTGGCCTGGCTGCAGATCATCAACGAGGAGTTCGCAGACATGGGTGAGTTTCTGACGACGCCCAACGYTGACTCAGCAGGTTTGATGCAGGAGCTCATTGAGGAGGCGCAGTGACTCCGTTGACTTTTTCTGCTACTTTTAGCAGCTATTCTGCTCACATTTGTTACTTTGAAGTTTAGATATTAGAGTTTAAAGGTAACCCTGACCACTGGTAACATTTAACATTATTTAAACATTTACTTCAACTGTAAAACAAAGACTGTAAAAATACTGTTTATCTTTTATATATTTAATTATTTTCATACAGA